TTTGACTTGAATTCGTACGGTACGCGAAGTACCCGTTACTATTGTTTGATTGTATTTCGTTTTGTCTTTTCGATCTATATTAATTACTATTTTTTTTGTAATTCATCAATTCGGTATTGTCCGAAATCGTCGCGCTTCCCGTCGCCGATTTTCTTTAATAAACCGAACCATTTTCTTGAGATCGAAGTGTCCGAATAATTTTGTGTGTCGCGTGATCGTCTGACCCATCCGACCTATTGTTCCGAATCCCGCCGCCTCCGCGTAGCTGAGTTAGCCAACGTAGGTACGCGAAGACATATCGTAGGAACTGATACGTGGTTCCCGTTTTGGAACCTGGCGCCCAACAATACCTTAGGTATTTCGAGAGTAAAAATTTGTTAGCCCCTGGGTTGCCTGGAACGCGTAGGAATCGCGTAAAGTTGTGCGCCGGTCGGTCTTGCATTTTCCGGTGAGGTCGATCGTGTAAAAATACGTCACAATATATTCTTTACGCCACTGTCTTGTTAGCCGTCCACGAGGTAGCTATTTAGAAAGTAATAGTACTTACAGTTTTCAGAAAATGTTGGTATCAAGCTGAAAAAGTCGTATTTTATTTGTTATTAATACTTTAATTGTTTAAACGACGAACTTCGGTTGATAAGATTATATTTTATGCTTTTCAATGTAAGAATATTTAACGCCTAATACGAGATTCGTATCATTAGTCAGTCACTCGTTAGTCGTTTAGACAATTAAATTGTGAATAACATATTAAATATAACTTTTTCAGCTTAGTACCAAAACTTTCTACAATCTGTATGCATTACATTATTATTTTTTTAATAATTAGCATAGACTGTCGTAAAGACTAATATTGCAAACGTAACGGAATATTAGAATATTTCTTACAAGGAGTCTCCAACAATCGGATTTTTGTAATCTTTTTTAGTCATGGTACGTGAAGTTGAGAATTCGAATAGTAATTTCCCAAAGCAGGTCTATGTCATATTCAAAAATTCTCAAGAAAGTCGACTTTGAAGTTTTGTGAGTCCGTATGTACATCAAATGTGTCAGAATATTTAAGCAGGCCGTTTAACGCACCCGGTAACGCTCAAGCTTAGCGAGCGCGGGGTCGCAGGTTCGAGTTTCTCTTGTAGCTTTCTTTTTTCCACCCAATTCGCATAATTACGTCATTTAAATATAAAAATCACCAAATCTATACCAATTCACAGATATATAATTGCAATCTTCAATGAAAATCGCACGTTTTATTTTTAATTATCTCGAGCTTCAAAAATTGCACTTTTGAATGTAAATATCAGTGTTTAGCTACCAGTAATTATAACAAACAAGATTTTTAGAGCGGAAATGAAAAATGATGGAATTCTCTTTACTATGAAAGCAACATGATAAGAAAAGTAATGGAGTCGAAGTACTGAACGCGCACAATATAATAAAAAAAAAATTTCTTGACAATTTTGTGAGGTGTCTGGCACCCTTTGCGAAGGAACCCCCAAATATTGCAGCCATGACGCCCCTGTCAGAGCTTCGTACTTTCGCCACCAGTCAACGCTCGAGTCAACACCGAAACTGTTTCCAGCCAGACAGCAGCCTTAATAGTGTCCAGCTTGCTGAAGCTGTGTGGTAAATGTAAGAGAGAAAAGTGTGCTGAATTATTTACGTACCCCAAGCCGTGCGAACAGAGAGGAGCGAACCTGAACACCCTGGACTTCCACGTCCGACACCTAGATGCAGAAACAACGGCGCGGAACGCCTGAACACCCTGGAGTTCCACGTCCGACACCTAGACACAGGAAAGTACGGACAGGAACACCTGGACATCCTATATCTCTAAAAACTATCATCTGAAATACTAGGAACTATGTCGAAGTACACTCAACACGTGCGCTCCATATCATTTTTTGCTATACTTTTCAGGCGGGCTAAAGATTAATTTTATACTATTGTGAAAACAGCGTTATATTGATTGAAAATTCTGTGCGAACGGTAGCTTCACGCACAAAATGTATTTGATTGCTGTGTGTATTCGTAAATTACCAACACCATCCAGAGTACATATAGCTGAAGAAAACAAAGCAGCCAACGCCATCCGTCATGTGAAAAAGTAAATGGACGTGCAAAGACGACAACGACGACGATGATGATGATGATGATGATGATGATGATGATGATGATGACAACGACGACGACGACGACGGTGGAACTGAAATAAATCATCTCGCTCGCCATCTTAATACACTCTGATCTCGTACACCAATCGTACTGATCTTGGTGGCAATCGATTCAGAACTCTCAATTTTTATAGTGAATGTATCAATAGCTTTTTCTCAAAATGTACAGCGGTTTATAAGATATTTCGTTCCAAACACAGGTATAAGAGTTGACTCAAATAAAGTTTTTGCGAGCTGTGTCCTGTACAGCCGGTTCCCTGTACTTGGCGCGACGAATCTCTTGATCATAACAAACATTATATACGTACCATCCGCATTTCACTGTCCAGAATCGTATTATGAGTTTCAAGAATATCAATTAGCTTCTGGGGATACATCTTCAGTATGTCCGAGTAACAATGAGCCACCTGCATTACAAATATATATACATATATTAATTCAATGATTACATATACTAACATGCAATATAAATAAAGTATAAAGTTAAATGTTATTCAATATTATTTTATTCAGAAATCATAATCCAATTAGAACATTACCATCAGCTGGAAGGTAAAGTATTAAAATAAATATTCTATACGCGAATAGTACCTTAGTGTGGAAATACAATTTAAAAAATACTAGGTGAGTGCATGATATTTTAGGGATTTTTGTTAGCACGTAATTCGACATTTTCAAAGCTCAAAAAATATTCTTTCTTTACACTTTGACCAAATAACGTATACTGAAAAGTAATGTCACAAGACGTAGCTTTCACATGAATATAGTTTCAGGATGGTCTTATGCGATACAGTACAAATTACGCCGTCTGGTAGAAATCCCTCAAAATTCATGCACAAACCTAATAGTATAATGATATTGATGTTACACAAAATTAGTCCATGTCCATATTATTACGATAGCAATAATTGCAGAATGGCAAATAATTAATAATGAACAAAAGTTATACATAGCGCTGTACATTATGGAACAATGCGTCTATGTACAAGTTCGTTACTTCAAAAAATCATATAAATAATTCTTTATATTAAATGCAATAGTCTTCGAAATAATTATTATAAATTCATAGCTGACACAACATTTGAACCTTGTCTCGTCCAAGTTACAGTCGCCTGAGATAGCTAATAACCCTAATTGGCACATTGTAGGTATCTGTGCTAATAAATTCGCATTAAGATCAACTTTGTCATCAAGAATAGCACAAAATATCGCAAGCATTCTATCCAGAGAAAAGATATGTGGTCCGGTGTGCGTTTTCAGTTTTACCGTTTTCTTACTAACTTTAGTTTTTTTCTTTGTTTTTGCACTTTGCTTTAAGAAAAGTCGTTTATCTTCCTTCGAAGGATTATACGAAGCTAAATATCCAGCTATTAATAAATACTTGGCATAGAATGGCAATTCAAAGCTTAAAGCTAATTTAGTTGTTGATTCTATTTCTTGCGACATTTGAGCGCGCTGATCAAAATCATTTGAAGCAACTCTAAGATAAATCACTTCAAGGTTTGTCTTCAAAATATTGGATATGTTTCGCCATAACGCAGTAATATCGTTCATATTACATTGGCCTGTCTCTATTGGTTCTACATATTTGGAGAAGTTTACTTTTGCCATGTAACGAAGCTCATTTAGATCCCTACAAAATCTGAAGAACACAGAGAGAAAGAGATTTATGTAATTCTTGTAAAATCCATCATCATACGATTTTGGTTTTGACAAAACAAGGATTTGTGCTATCTCTTCACGAGTATATTGTGGAAAGTGCAATTTAATTGGTCCACGCATACCAATCTTGATATTGTTCTTTTCCCAGACTATGTCACTTATAAAAATTGTACAAACATTTTTACCCAGCAACTCTTTTAACCTTACAAATGCAGGTAACAAATTCATATCTATATCCCGCAAACGATCACATTTATCAAACACTAAAAAAGTCGGTTGTTCGTTATATTTTAATATGAATTTAAATTGCGAAATAAAATCGAATAAATTGTCGCACTTTTGTATTTTATAGACATCTGTTGTGGTGGAAAGTTGTGATGAAATATCAATCAAAATGTACTCAAAGATATGTTGACAACTAAGGCATTCAATGCAATTAATAATAGAAAATTTATATTGTAAACAAGACAACAATGATTCAATAATTAAAGATTTTCCCGTTGCAATATGTCCATAAACAAAGATACTTTCAGGTATTGTTTCATTTTCAATACCAATTAAGGAATGTAGATGATTTATTAGAGTATCCCTGCAAATTATTTTACGTTTTAGATTATCTCGCCAATGCTCATTCATTATTATAATAAAAGATTTAAATATTAGTTGTAATATGTATCCATAAACTTCCAACTTCACAAAATGCTGCTTTTACACCTGAAAGAAAAATGACAATCACTAATATATGGTCGTGAGTGTAATACATTTTCTTATATAGGTTTTTTCAGAACTATTGCAGCAACTAAAGTTAGCCATGGAAATCAAACAATTGGTCTTCAGTTGGTGTAATAGTCCCAAATAACCATATATGGATAATTGACACTGCACAGAAATTTTCTTTCAAGTATAAAAGATATTTTTGTCATGATAATCATGAGAAGCTCATTACATATTACAAGTACAATACTTACTTGAGCTAGAAACATTGACAATTCATCCAGGCTCTTGTTGTACTTATTTGGTGTCAAACGAAAGACCTCGACTGTAGATTTATAATGATTATATTGTTGAAGAAACTAAAAAGAACAAAAAAAAAAGCTAGTTATGTTAATCAGTCTATTAGTTCTAACCAATCAACTTGTATAAGTATTTTACTAAGATCCACATAGGGTATTTGAGAACCTCATGCTAGTTTTAGCTCCTACCCTGCTTTAATTCATTAATTTTTGATTGGTTAATATATAAATCTAAATGCCAAAGTCTGAAAAAGATGTTTAACACAAAAGCAATTTGAAATTTATCATTTTCATGCAGTTCATTGTAGCAACAACTAGTTGAGGCATAGCATGTAGTCAATTCCATTCTTTTCAAAACTTACTAGAACTTCTGACATCCTACATAGATTGCCTAACATTACAACTTATTACCAAATAAAAGACATACTTCTTCTTTATATAACTCAGGATCTCGCTTGATTAAATTTTGCAGTTGAGGCAGATTGTCAGGAAGTTGATTGTTATGACGCACCATGTTTCAAAGACATCCTAAAAACATATTTTCAACTGAATAATCAGAAATAACTCTATTTCTCAATTACAGGATTTTACAATATATAATCAGTATTTATAATCAGAATACGATCAAACAAACATGACTCGCTAATTTCAGTTTAATTCTGCAACGTAATTATCGAATGTATAAGTACATTCGATATTTTTAAACATACATTATTATAAACTCACCGTTTACATCCAAAAATTATAATTCATAGGACAGAAGTAGAAGTTAGTTGAAATTGATTTCCTCGTGACTACTTAATCTATGAAAACTTTCTCCAAAATGGTGGCTGATCAGTGGCTGATGCATGGAGACTAGAGTAGAGGCAGAGATCCTTCCTTCCTTTCCTTATGGCTGTATCCCCAATGGGGGACATGTGTCAGTAACTGGTCCTAATAATCAAGGTTGGAAGTTCGACAATAGATGGCGATGTACCTTGCGAGACGGGCCTTATTCAACTCAGCGTGAGGGGACCTACAAAGTTCATACACCGAATCCGAACAGTGTTGGGCGAAATCCTTATAAATACTCACTTAAGTTTTCATATGAAAACGCATGGTGAATGCCGCTGGAAGCTGGGCACGAACCTCAAACCTTTCGGTCGTGAATCCGCTACCCTATCCACTGGGCTACGGCCGCCCTAGAGGCAGAGATGAGTAGGGAGATTGCCAACACAGATGAGTGGGGAGATGCACAACGCTCCGGTTTTAGGCGATACCAAAAGTATGGCGGTAAATCGTAGCGGCGAGTCCGGGAGTAGGATTTCATGCTCATCGCCTCTGTCGACGTTACAGATTTCGCGTAGCCGCGCGGGTTATGATCATCGTTCCAGCCGACATTGCAGTCAGCGAAAATGAATGGATTACTCGGTGGTGGGGAAAAAGTTGCCGCCGCTCACAAACTGTTCTTGACAAACAGGCGGGGCAGCAAGATCTTCCATCCAACCGAACCCTAACCATTTGTATGGACGTAATGCGCTAACAAATGTGTATATTCAAATAAATTTGAAAGTTATAAAAAATGCATAGAAATATTGGTTTTCACTCATTACCTCTTATCATGCCGAAAATGAACATTAAAAAATGAATGGCGAAATTCGTTGGTAAATGAAACGACCGACAACAGTTCAAAGAGAAATTTTGAAATATCATAGATAAATATCTATAATAAATTTAATTTAGTATTAAATGAGCATCGTAGCTGAGTCAATAACCTGTCAAGGTTCCTCTCTTTTAACCTTTGTAGGTTTCCCAAAGTTTATTTTATTCTTTTTTGTTCGTCCACGTGGAGAAGGATGGCGCGAAAGTTCTTAACTGGTGTGCATCTTCATATTATTCTGCTTATATGTAAAGTAAGCGAAACGTTAATAGTAAGCAGTTGAATAAACGATGAAATTCTAGAAATACAACTTCCGAAACAAGTAAAACATACACGTGTTTTTGGCGTGTGGCTAGTGCACCTGGTTACGAATCGGGAGGTCCATGGTTCGAGACCCCTCTATGGAGAGCACTTTCTTTTTACAAAAAAAAAATGTGCTTTTGCAAATAGGATTAACAGAATAAAGAGTGTATCCAATTAATTTATTTATCTTATTACAATAAAGGCATAAACAACGACATCCTTCCTTTCCTTATGGCTGTATCCCCAATGGGGGACATGTGTCAGTAACTGGTCCTAATAATCAAGGTTGGAAGTTCGACAATAGATGGCGATGTACCTTGCGAGACGGGCCTTATTCAACTCAGCGTGAGGGGACCTACAAAGTTCATACACCGAATCCGAACAGTGTTGGGCGAAATCCTTATAAATACTCACTTAAGTTTTCATATGAAAACGCATGGTGAATGCCGCTGGAAGCTGGGCACGAACCTCAAACCTTTCGGTCGTGAATCCGCTACCCTATCCACTGGGCTACGGCCGCCCTAGAGGCAGAGATGAGTAGGGAGATTGCCAACACAGATGAGTGGGGAGATGCACAACGCTCCGGTTTTAGGCGATACCAAAAGTATGGCGGTAAATCGTAGCGGCGAGTCCGGGAGTAGGATTTCATGCTCATCGCCTCTGTCGACGTTACAGATTTCGCGTAGCCGCGCGGGTTATGATCATCGTTCCAGCCGACATTGCAGTCAGCGAAAATGAATGGATTACTCGGTGGTGGGGAAAAAGTTGCCGCCGCTCACAAACTGTTCTTGACAAACAGGCGGGGCAGCAAGATCTTCCATCCAACCGAACCCTAACCATTTGTATGGACGTAATGCGCTAACAAATGTGTATATTCAAATAAATTTGAAAGTTATAAAAAATGCATAGAAATATTGGTTTTCACTCATTACCTCTTATCATGCCGAAAATGAACATTAAAAAATGAATGGCGAAATTCGTTGGTAAATGAAACGACCGACAACAGTTCAAAGAGAAATTTTGAAATATCATAGATAAATATCTATAATAAATTTAATTTAGTATTAAATGAGCATCGTAGCTGAGTCAATAACCTGTCAAGGTTCCTCTCTTTTAACCTTTGTAGGTTTCCCAAAGTTTATTTTATTCTTTTTTGTTCGTCCACGTGGAGAAGGATGGCGCGAAAGTTCTTAACTGGTGTGCATCTTCATATTATTCTGCTTATATGTAAAGTAAGCGAAACGTTAATAGTAAGCAGTTGAATAAACGATGAAATTCTAGAAATACAACTTCCGAAACAAGTAAAACATTCTAGAAATACAACTTCCGAAACAAGTAAAACATACAAGTATTTTTGGCGTCTGGCTAGTGCACCCGGTTACGAATCGGGAGGTCCATGGTTCGAGACCCCTCTATGGAGAGCACTTTGTTTTTACAAAAAAAAAATGTGCTTTTGCAAATAGGATTAACAGAATAAAGAGTGTATCCAATTAATTTATTTATCTTATTACAATAAAGGCATAAACAACGACAACCTGCGGGCTTCCACATCATCCAAGAGGTGCCGCAGTGAATACGTTCCCATTATTTAACGTAGCGGGTCCCCAGTAGGCCTATACTACGATCGACCTATACTATTTTTCAAGGTTCCTCTCTTTCAAATTTTCTCGGTTGCCCAAACTTTATTTTAAGCTTATATAAAATATTTCTAAAAAAAGGTTGTCATCGTGATCGAAAATCATTTTCTATTAACTCACAATACTCTCTCTCGCAATATTTTTCATAGTAATAAAATAATTGGAATTTGTAAAAAGAAAGTGCTCTCCATAGAGGGGTCTCGAACCATGGAC